GGGCACCCCCGGTGAAGGCCCTGACCCCCAGCCTCTGCCCACAGATCCTGACCCAGGAGGACTGGAACAAGGTACTCTACAATGGAATGGCCTCCACGTCGTCCTGGGCTGCTCTTTATTTCATTGCCCTCATGACCTTCGGCAACTACGTGCTCTTTAATCTGCTCGTCGCCATTCTGGTGGAGGGCTTCCAGGCGGAGGTAACCCCCGGCCCACAGCAGTCCAGTTCCGGGAGGAGTCGGCTGCCTGGCTTGAGCCATGGTGGCCGGGGAGGTCTCACAGAAAGTGCCCATCGGGCCAGGCTGGGGGACTTGGGGTGGAAGGTCCCGGGTCTCGGGCAACCCCTCAGCACCGGGGAGACAGGGTGGTTGTGGGGGATCCCTGGGTCCACTAGCTCCTGAGTGGGCTTCCGCATCAAGGTCAGCCAGATTCTTCCCCGGGGAGCTGGATAAGTGCTGGCACACGGTGCCAGCTGGATCCCGAGTACGGGTGCTCTCGGGGACATCCAGAGGGGACCCCTCTGAGCCGAGGGGTGGGGGCAGCTTGTGTGCAAATCATCCAAGCTCTGGCTAAACTGATGAAGATGCCACCAGGGCCCAGGCAGGGCTAAGCTGCCCAGGGTGAGAAATGAGCCCAATTAGCTGCAGGCGTGGCAGAGACGAGCGTCCTATTTCCAGCCCAGGCTCCATCACCTCCGTCACAGGCAGCGTCATCCATTCATATTGATTTGCATCGATCCTGCCCTGGCTGTGCCAGGGCTCAGCACCTGCCTGGAGGGCCGTACGTCGTTCCTGTCCCTCAGCTCCCCCCCGCCCGTCCCCCGAGCTCCGGGCCCAGCCCAGCCTCCAGTCCAGGCGTCTTTCACAGGCAGGTTGACCCAACCTAGAAATGCTCCAGGTTGGGCGCAGAGAAGCTCTTGGTCCAGTTCTCTCCGGGTGACCCGGATGGAAACTCCCGCTGCGGCCTGGTCTATAAATACTCGGCACACGGTGGAAAAACAAAAATCTATTTTCCGACTCTTTCCCAGCCTTCGCGAGGGAGGGCCGTTCCCCGTAGGCCGGCTGGGCTGGTGGGGTGCGGGTGCCTCTGTCCCACACCGGCCCTCTCCGGCTGCCTGCCGGCCGTGCACATTCTGTACTTATCCATTATCGCATTTCCTCCCACTGGGTGGCAGTGAGGGCAGCTGGTGGGGGAGGCCGGCCCTGCCTCTGGTGATGGCCGGGCCTCTTGTGCCGAGGGACGAGGCACTTCATTGGGGGTTACCCGGGGCCTGAAAAGTTCAGGGGTGACACCATGCTCCCGTAAGAGCCAGGGTCTCCATGGACACCCACCGCTCTTAGCCGGTGGGAAGAACTGCTGAGCGGGGACGGGGGTCCCGCCACCCCTTGCAAACCACTGCCCCTGGCGGCTAAGATGTCCTCAGAAAAATCCCCGAGGAACTCCTTGAGGGGATATGGAAAACACCCCGAACCTATTCCCCTCCCCTCAGCTGGCCGTTCGGTCGTCTCAGCAGCCCTGGAGGTGTCCGGTGCAGACAGCCCCCTCCCCACCGCCGGCCCTTTCAGCAAACACCTTGTTAAATTGAATGCTGCTGAGCCGGCCTGGTTGCTAGGCAGCGGCGATGTCTGCTGTTGGGAAGGAAGACAGGTCACTCTGGCCTTGCCGGGGGGCCTGTGGCTGCCCCAGCCCAACAGGTCAGCTAGGGCCTGGGGCCACGGCCGCCTCAACCTGCAGGGCACAGGTGCCCAGTGGCAAGGGTCTCAGAGCTTGATGCTTCAGGTCGGGGCTGGGATGGAGGAAGGATTTCCAGATCAACCCCCCTCCATGGGGGTGGGCGGCGGCCTGGCCCTGAAGTGCCCGTGGGAGGGGCTGGACCAGCCGCCCACTGTCCTGTGTGTCGTGGGCCAACACCTAGGTGGGGGAGGGGAGGGCCGGTCAAGCCAGGCCGGTGACCTGGATACCTCCAGAAGCACCTGCCCTGTCTTGTACAGAGTTTTAAGGGGGGGGGGGGGGTGCACATGTGGCTCTGAGGAAGCCCCACATTCTGGCAGGAGAGGCTGGTTGTTGCTGTTGTGATGGCCCACTCTATTACAAAACAGGCAACCCCCCCTCTGCAGAGGAAGTTGTTGGTCGTCAGCAGCAGGAGGGCTCCAGGGTAGCCCCAGCTGGCCTGGCCACCTTGCCAAGAGGTCAGAGGGAGGAGGCCCGGGAGACGGGGCTGGCTCGGCTGCCCATTTGCCGACGTGCAGGGGGCAGCATCCTGAATCCCTGTGTATTTGTCATGCACACACTTAATTAAATGAGCAGACAGCAGGCCCTGTGTGAGGCCATTAATTGGTATTAAACAACATCATAGCTGTCATCCCAGTGTTACTTGTCACATCCCATCCCAGTGGGAGCAGCTGGACCCGGTCTGATTCTGGGGGATGCAGGCTGGGCGTATGGGAGTGGGGAACCCCCCTGCAGCTCCCGGCCCGCAGCCTCCTCCCGGCCTCTGGCTCATGCCCTCCTCCTTCCCCGCCTCCCTGCCCATCCCCAAGCCCGCTGCCAGTGTGGGGCCAGTACAAGGTGAGCTGGAGACTCAGGTGCAAGGCCCAGGTAGACCTCTGACTCTCTGCGTGCCTGGGGACAGCTGTCTTAGCTTCTCCAAACCTCAGCTGCCTCCTTTATGGTGACACGCGTGACTTCCTTCCCGCCTTGCGAGAGGCGAGCTGGTGTGACTAAAGCAGTTTCTGGGCGGCTGGCATGCCCCTTGTGCATCGTAGCTGTCATTATTAGGATTACTGGGGGGCTCGATCTCCTTGCCTGCCCTTTTCCCCCACCTTCATGGCCTCTGCCCTCACCCTTCAGATTCATTCGGGCCCGAGGGCCTGTGGTTGAATTCTGGAAGGCCGTCTGTCCCCTTTCTCCTCCTCCCCTACCCCCAGTGTCTCGTCCCCCTTCCACCCCTGTCGGGTTTGTGCCATCCTTTTCTTCGTCCTCTTTTGACACTGCTGATGTTTGAAAGCCCGAGCACCTGTGACCAGCGCCCGTCCCCTGCCTCCCCGTCTCCCTGTAGGAAATCAGCAAACGGGAAGATGCGAGTGGACAGTTAAGCTGTATTCAGCTGCCTGTCGACTCCCAGGGGGTAGGTACGCGATCATGAGTCGGCATGCCCCCGCTCCCCGTGCCCTGTGCCCCCTCCACCTCCGTGTCTCTGTGCTCGTGTTCACGCTCAGCTGCTGTGCAACTGTGGTAGCTGTGGTGGTCATTGGTGTCGTGAGGTTTGCTTCGATTTTAAGTCCCTTCCCCCTGAGGACATGGAGAGGAGGGGCCTCCTTGTCTCTGCCCCCACCACCCTGCCAAGGGCACTGTTCCCATCCCCCGCTGGACCAGTAGAGGGGCGGGAGAAGGAAGGGACTTAGAATCTCTGTGTGCACGTGTGTGGTCCACCGCGTGTGGGTGCCTACACTGAGGTCCCCGAGGAGTCTGAGTCTCGGGATAGTGGCCGCAGACTGTGCTTCCCCATCTCTCTCCCCTCCCCCTTGCCCTGAGCCCCTATTGGAGACCCCCACAAGCTGCCTCAGCTCAGGACAAGTCTTTGGAGGATGTGAGGGTGGGGTGCCTCTTGCCAGAAGGTCCCAGATTTTTAAACCCACTTCCGAGTCTCTGGCCCCCTAGCCACCTGGGAGGTCCAGCAGGCATTTGGGGGCCTGCCCCACTCTGGCCTCCACACCAAGCCCGTGCTCCACTGTTTCCTGATCTGGCCCTGGAATTCGGGCCAAGGCCGGGGTTCCCGCGGGACCCCACAGTGCTGTGCATCCCGAGCGGCCCCCTGGAGATCCCACTCGATAATTAAAGGCCTCGTTAGGGATGTAAACTGAGTTAATGAAAATGATCCCCTGAGATGCCAATTACGCAATATTTATGCCCTTATCAAAAGTAGCAATCAAGTATTTCTTAATAACTTCTTAAGGAGAAGTGTGTAATTACTGGGGAACCCACTGACCTGCTAAGAAGGAAGAAAAAAGTACCCCAGAGACAGGGACAGAGGTAAAAATGGGGCCAGGGGACGGGGTGGGGTCTTGGGAAAGACGAGGGGAAGAAGCAGAGGGCCTGAAGTGGCCTCCTTGGGCTGAGCTGCTCTGTCTGGGGTCTTTCAATTTCCTTCTGGGGTCCTCAGGTCTGCGGCTCAGGGGAGGGCAGCCATGGAAGGAAAGCAGAGGGCATAAGTGGCCTTGGGAATTTAGGCTCTAGTGACCATTTCACTCAGGTCCCCAGCTCCCTTTGGCCTATGCCACCCGCCCACCCGCCTGCCCGGCTGTTCCCCTCTCCCCTCAGCCCTTCCCGGAGCCAGTCCCCGCCAGGCTGGTTGTGTCGTGGGCTATGGGGTTAGCCGTGGCCTTCTCTGAGGTGTGGCAGGTGGGAGGCAGAGGTGTCGGGGGCCCTGGGGAGCTCTGGGCCCCACGCCTGGATGGTGTGGCCTGTGCCAGTGCATGCCTCGTGCCGTGGTTGCTGGTTCCCATAGCCTATATGTGGTGTATGCTTGTGGAGACAGGGAGGCCTCAGTCCAGCCCACTAGCCCCTGCCGGGCCAGGTCTCTAATGGCCTGCTGCTCCCCCACCCCACCCCCACCCTAGGGAGATGCCACCAAGTCCGAGTCAGAGCCCGATTTCTTCTCACCCAGCCTGGATGGTGACGGGGACAGGAAGAAGCGCTTGGCCTGTGAGTATCTATCCTGGGGGTGCGGGCCCTGGCCCTGGGCCAGCCTTGAGTGGACTCAGGGTCTCTCCTTCTCTCACTTCCCCGGCAGTGGTGTCCCTGGGAGAGCACCCGGAACTGCGGAAGAACCTGCTGCCGCCTCTTATCATCCACACGGCCGCCACGCCCATGTCGCTCCCCAAGAGTTCCAGCACCGGCCTGGCCGAGGCGCTGGGCCCCGCCTCCCGCCGCACCAGCAGCAGCGGGTCTGCTGAGCCAGGGGCGGCCCATGAGATGAAGTCACCGGTATGGGGTGCACATGGGTGCCCTACGGTGGGACATGTGCAGAGGTCAGGAGGGAAGAGAGGATGGGGGCGGAGAGGCCCAAGGCCTCTGAGCCCTAGGTTGGACAAGCCCCCGGGAGGTCAGTAGGGCTAGTAATGCAGGCAGGTGCAGAGCTCTGGCCTTGGGGGGAGAAAGAGCAGTGTTCTAATCCTATTCTTGTGTTCCTGAACTGCCCCTTGGGTGAAACTCAACCTCTGAGCCTCTGCTATAAGATAGGGGAGGTCCTTCTCTCCTTAATACTTCATCATAATAGCAAACCCCGTGCAGTTACTGATTCTGTACGAGAGCAACCCCATGAGGTAGGTCTCATTATTATCCCCACTTGACAGATGGGGACCCGGGTCTTAGCTTGCCAAACTGATTGGTGGGAAGCTCGGCAGTGAGCCGGTGACAGAGCCAGAAGTTTAATCCAGGAGTCGGCGTCGGCGCCCGCGCGCCTGCCGTCACTTTATACGGCCAGTCAGCTACATGAGGAATAGGCACTAGTGTCGTAGCTCTTCTCCAGATGAGGAACTGAGGCACAGAGAGGTTTAGTCACTTGCCCAGGGTCACCCAGCTGGTGGGAGTGAGTAATCTGAACCCAGGCGTCTGGTCCACGGCTCCCGCTTACACGTCGACTCCTGATATGGCGCCGAGGAGGCTCCCAGGAGACAGGGTGCCTGTGGGGGGTGGGTTGCAGGGCTGCGGGGTCCTGGTTGAGACCGCCCTCTCCCTGGCTCACCCCCACCCCCAGCCGAGCGCCCGCAGCTCTCCGCACAGCCCCTGGAGCGCGGCAAGCAGCTGGACCAGCAGGCGCTCCAGCCGGAACAGCCTGGGCCGCGCCCCCAGCCTGAAGCGAAGGAGCCCGAGTGGGGAACGGCGCTCCCTGCTGTCGGGCGAGGGCCGGGAGAGCCAGGACGAGGACGAGAGCTCGGAAGAGGAGAGAGCCAGCCCGGCGGGCAGCGACCGTCGCCACAGGGGCTCCCTGGAGCGGGAGGCCAAGGGCTCCTTTGACCTGCCGGACACGCTGCAGGTGCCCGGGCTGCACCGCACAGCCAGTGGCCGCAGCTCGGCCTCCGAGCACCAGGACTGCAATGGCAAGTCGGCCTCGGGGCGCCTGGCCCGGGCCCAGCGGCCCGACGCCCCCCCACTGGATGGGGACGATGGCGATGACGAGGGCAACCTGGTGAGGCCCCTGAGGGCGCGGTGACTTCTCACACCTGACCTTGAGCGAGGGGGGCAATGCCTGACCTGGCGCTGGGCTGGACGCCCCGCTGCCAGTTCCGTGGCATTCAGGGAGTTACCGTCGCGCCCGAGGGGTCCCAAGGGGTGCCGGCCCTGAAGCGGAGCTCCAAACAGCCCCTTTTTCTCCCTATGCCCGCCCTGCCGAGCCCCAGATCCTCGTCACATGCGGGGCTGCGGTCCTTGGTGGATATGAATGGTTTCGGGCAGATGCGTATGAATCTTTCATGGCCCTCCCCCAGTGACTCAGAAATACCCATAACTCATCCCTCCAAACCGATGCCCTCCCCTGTCTCCCCCTCTCTCATCTCGACCTTATCACAAGTCTTGACTTCACGCCCGTCCTCCTTACCCATTCACCCCTCCCCGGCCTCCACACCACCACCACCACCTCTAACCCTGGGGGATGGGCACGTGGATCTAGGACCTCAGGGTTAGCGCGTGAGGAGAAGGGGCCAGGGTCCCCTCCCGCCAGGTGTGTCTTTGAACAGACAGCTGTGATGGGTACAATGTTTGATAATTGATGCAGCTCCCAAGCCCAGCGGGGAGGGAAGCCGGGAGGGCCTTCGGGGATGGGCTGGAGGCTGGAGGCAGAGACATAAGCGCAGAGAGCCTGGGGGGAGGGGGGCGTGCAGGGGAGGAGGGAGGAGATGCACGAAGCGAGGCATGCTCAGGGGACCAGAGGGGCTTAGAGGGAGACTGGGGGTCTGAGGAATAAAGGAAGAGAAGCAGGGCTGAGGACTGGGCCCAGTGTGAAGGGCTGGACAGGGAGTGAAGGCCATGTTGCTGCAGACAAGGGGTAGGGCGTGGGGAACTTGAGGGTCCCAGCCCCGCACACCAGTCCTGTGGTCCTTCTACAGAGCAGAGGGGAACGGATGAGAGTGTGGATCCGAGCCCGGCTGCCCGCCTGCTGCCGGGAGCGAGACTCCTGGTCCGCCTATGTCTTCTCTCCTCAGTCAAGGTGAGCAGGGGATCCCTGACCTCTCCTCCTGGGGAACTATCCCGCGACACCACCCTGGGGGACGCTAGAAGTGTCCTGGCCTGAGGGCACGTGAGAGAGGGGCCTCGGGCTGGGAGGGCCCCGAGGAGGCAAGGCCGCTCCCCGCTGCCCGGCCTGCCTCCTGCCCAGCCTTTGCTCGTCTCCGAACAGGTTCCGCCTCTTCTGTCACCGAATCATCACCCACAAGATGTTCGACCATGTGGTCCTTGTCATCATCTTCCTCAACTGCATCACCATCGCCATGGAGCGTCCCAAGATCGACCCCCACAGCGCTGTGAGTCACCAAAGACTAAACTTGGTGGCTGTAGGCTTCCCTTGCAACTGGTACCCAGGCTTGCCTCCTGTGTCCTTCTCCTGCCTCTGCCTCCATTTCCCTCCTGTGATGCACCAGCCCAGCTCGGGGAGTGGGGCCCTGCTCCTTACCTGGGTGAAAAGTGAGCCCCGTTGCATCCTGGCTATTTGCAGACAGCACGTCCTCATGAGCCAGGCACTTGTGGGGCCCAGCTGGGTGTGAGTCGGCGAGTGTCAGCGTGATGGGAGCAGCAGACTGGCCCCGGCGGGGCTGAGTGTCTTGCTTCCCCTGCTTCCTGCAAAGGGGCTCGGTTTTGCCCACGACCTGTGCGCTGCTGGGGGAGACGTCCTGCCCAGCCTCCCCCATGGTCAGTGCAGAGTAGGGGAGAGGGAGCTGCCCTTTGCTCCTCTGGGTCCTGCCAGATCACAAACACGTAGGTTTTCAGGGGGAACATTGGTCACTTCTGCTTAGCTGTGAACCTTCTAGGCCCGCTCCAAAGGAGAAGAAGGGCCAGAGGCCTGCGTATCTGGACCTGCTCCCAGGGCCCTGACCTCTTCAGAATGGGTACAAGTGGTTCTGGCAGCTGTCTCCCCCCACCCGGGCATCATAGTCCCCGCCCCAGACAACGGTGGCCCCTCATGACATCTTGCCACACTTGCTTGGAGCGGCCCCCCCACCCCTCCCCACCGCCTCCCACACCGCCCGTTCAGATTTCGGTGTTGCTGGGCTTTGTTTTTCATTAGGGTGGGCTCCAGCCAGGCCCGGGTGGGGAGGGAGAGACCCTTTTGAATGGAGGGCAGGCCTGAAATAGGTGGGTGAGGAGATCCCCACCCCTGGGGCTCGTGCAGGGTGGAGCGAGGGCAGCTGGTCACATAGGCCCCTGGTCGGCCTTCTGCCCAAGGTCTCGCTGCAGGGCCCTCTGTCATTGTCACCACATCTTCCCCTCAGCTCCCCCCCTTCCTTTCCCTGCTTCTCTCTTTCCCTTTCTCTGTTTCTTGCTCTCCCTGACTCTCGTGCTCTGCGCGCTGCCTCTCCAGGCCTCTCCAGCCCTCTCTCGGCCACCCAGGGAGGGACTCAGCCTATAGATATCAGGGGACATGGGTCGCCTTAGGGATGTACAGCCTCGCTTGCCCTGTGGCTCCATTTCTGGGCCACACAGCAGGAAAACAAGTGCAGGCAGAAGGGCGGAGGGTAGGATGAGGAGGGTCAGAGATCAAGGTAAACCCTGCCCCAGTTTTAAGAAGGGAATCAGGATAGGCCTGAGATATGGGGCTCAGATGAGAATTGTTGGGGGAACGTTTCCCCTTCCAGGCCATTGCGGGGGCGGGGGTGGGAGACAGTGCTGTTCCAGGGCAGGGGTGAGACTGTTCAGAGCTGAGAGTCAGGGGGGCCTGGCGCTGGCTTTGTGTGTGTATGTGTGAGAGAGACAGAGACAGAGAGACAGAGAGAGGGAGGGGGATTCTGGGAAGAGGAGATTGTCTGCCTTGTGGGGGAAGGTGGGAGTCATTGTCCTGAGTCAAACGTCGGAGGCAGTTCCTGGCTTCTGTGTGCAGAGCAGCCCTGGCTCACGAAAGGAGGTCCTAGTGGGCAACACCCGCCTGCTGTCTCTTGCAGGAACGCATCTTCCTGACCCTCTCCAATTACATCTTTACCGCAGTCTTTCTGGCAGAGATGACCGTGAAGGTGATGGGGGGTCGGTGTTGCTCCGGGGCTGTCTGGTTCCCAGGGCCGGGTTGGTGGTGGGAGGGGATTGGAGAGATTGACCACAATCAGAGGGCAGGCCTGGGGACCGCAGGGAGGCGGCGGCCACAGTGATGCAGCGGGCGTCCCCAGGTGGTTGCGCTGGGCTGGTGCTTCGGGGAGCAGGCGTACCTGCGTAGCAGCTGGAACGTTCTCGACGGGCTACTGGTGCTCATCTCCATCATCGACATCCTGGTGTCCATGGTCTCCGACAGCGGCACCAAGATCCTGGGCATGTTGAGGGTGCTGAGGCTGCTGCGGACCCTGCGCCCACTCAGGTGAGCCCCCAGCCGTGCGTCCTCCTCAGGGACGCCTCCGACAACTCCCTGACGGAGCGGGAGCCCCACGTGCCCCTGCTCCCTGCCTCTGACCCCCCACGGGGAACCGTGTCACCACTGGGCTCAAACCATGGCCCCAGGAGTTTCCCCCCCTTGGGCACACCCCCTCCACATGACATACTCCCCACGTGACATACTGCTCAGGGCTACCATGCCCCTGACCTTGTGCTGGGCACAATATAAGAGGCCACAGGCAGGGCCCTCGTATCCTTCAGCTGGAGCTGTGCCTTGGGTGGTAACGTCAGGGATGACCATCCTCCCCGGTGAGGTAACAGACTCCTTTCCCCCCCTTCACACACCTTCACACGCCTCTCGGGGACCACCCAGCAGGTAACGCCTCTAGCAGGGAATCTGCTTTCTCAGGAAACCCTCCCTCAATCACCCTCCACCCCACTGTCAGAACTTTCCATGGATGGGGACCGTACTGACAGACTAGTGATGCCTCCCTGGCTGTGATAATCCACCTCCCACCCCCTTCCCCTCCTTGCGTGCACCCTCCATGATCCCGGCAAGTCAACCTCCCTGTCCCCACGACACACTGCATCCCTGGGTAACACCTCCCTTGGGTTGAGTCCCCTCCCCAGCCCCATCAGGTGATGCTTGGAGGTCTGGGAATGGAAGGGAAGATGGGGGAGGGGAGGTGGGGATGTCTGCGTCCCGTTTTGAGACATTAGAAGCGGGAGTCCCCATGGCGGGGATCTTGTGAAAAGAAAACTGCCCAGGAAGCCAGAGTCCAAGATGGAGGACCCGTGAGCCCAGATGGGGGGTGGGGGTGGGGGAGCAGCAGGGCAAGGGACAAGGGAGCGTCGGAGCTGAGGGAACCCGTCTTCTTCCCCCCCCCCCCCCC